CAGCGTGTGATGGTTTCATTGGCCGTTTGAAGGCTATAACTCTTGTCAAAGTTACTAATTCGAACAAATCTAAACTTATTCAAAAATTTGATGTATTTTCGACACATTTGCTCTCATTCAAAAAAAAAAAATTAAAAATTATGGCGTTTGACTTCGTTGCAGTTTTTTTCTCACCCTGTAGTTACGGCATTACATATTAAATGTGTTCCAATATAAATAAAAGAGTTTACCATTACCGATTTGGCAAATGAGATATCCTTTTTAATTCCACCATTACTGCTGTCTAAAACCAATTAAATTATTTTACATAACAGAAAACCCAAAAAAAAAAATCGAATCAAAATTTTCCCAACGTGCATGGAATCTGTAGAATATGTTACATGTTTAGTTGTTGTTGTTTTTTTTTTCTCGAGAACCAGGAAAAACAACTTTACTTCTGTGACTTTTGAGGAGGTGTACTATGAACAGAGCCGTAGATGCAACAGACATCTACACACGCACCCATAAATCGCCAGCCATATGCATATGTGTATCAAGTAGCATTTGTTGTTCTGTTGCTACTACCACAGATGCAATCAATTAAGATTCATTAAAATCAATTTAAAAAAATATGTCCCGCATATATGACGGACGGTATGTCGTCGTATGGAGGGTACATCATCAACAGCAAGTTGTCGTCGTCGTCGTAGACTGAATACAATGTTTGGAATTCGTTTTGGTTTCATAAATTATTTGTTTTATTACTTTTATTCTTGTTTTGAATTTTTGGTTGGAGAAATCAAAGCTGTAATAATGAAATGGAAAGTTGACCAAAATTCTTTGACAATAATTTGGAAATGTCCCAAAAAGAAAAAAACTTACAGGGATTCATAATAAAAAATATTGATAGCATGTTCAGCAGACTTAAGATTACAGAACCGCACTAAAATCATGCCGTCCTCCATTTTAATTTGACATTAATATGTCTAGCCATGACTTCAAGCTTTTTATGTACATGTACCTTTAAGGTGGCAATACATAAAGCGCATCGACTGGGTTCTTCGGAAATAAACATAGGAACCTAGGGCCAAAATCGACCTAAGTCAACCTAAAACTCCTTTTTCCTCTAAGAAGAAGCCAGCCGATGACTTAAGCCATCCAAATAAGCGCTTTATGTATTCCCACCTTTATATCTGTACCATTTGCAAGTTAAATGCATGGTAGAACTAAGAAGGAAAAGTCATGTAATAACATGTTTACATTATTTTTCAAATTTATACACTTGACAACATCTCATTGTCAAAATCTATATTCATCAATCCATTGTATACACACAAAATCAGAGATGGGAAGTATTTTTTATGCCTTGAAATTTGACAAGGTAAATTACAGAAAATACAGAGCTGGGAATGCTAATTTGAAATGAGGTTATCTTTATTTCATTGTGCCATGGGTTTCTTTTTTTTATTATTACAATAATCGATCTAAGTCAACCTAAAACTCCTTAAGCCAGTCAAAATAGCCTCTCACCCATGGTAGAAGAATATAGGTAGACGCTTCGACACAGCTGCTGGGACAATGAACTGTCAAACCAATTTTGGAATCGAAATTGTTGAATGAAAAATTTATCAAATTTGTAAATATAGTTAAAAAATGCATATTATAACAACCACCGATTGGCGTCGTGTAGAAAAACATATACAAATATACTTATTTTTGAAGAAATATTTAAAAAATTTTGACATATCAATGTTCCCAAGCGCTGATGCATCTACCTGTATTTTTCTACCATGCTCTCACCTTAATATATACACTCAAGATGGAGATGGTTTTATTTGGTAACGGCACATACAGGGTGATATAAAAAAATGCAACAAAGTCAAACGCCATCATTTTTACATTTTTTTAATTTTATTGAATGAAAACAAAAAATGTCGAAAATAGCAAATTTGTGAATAAGTTTAAATTTTTCGAATTGGTCACTTTTGACACGAGTTATGGCCTTCAAACGGCCAATGAAACCGTCACACGCTGCCCGAATGTTGCTCTGCGGTATTTTGGACCATTCCCGGCGAAGCCCTTGCTTGAAGTGATCGACAGCTTGGCATTTTTTAGTGCAAAACTTGCTTTCCAAAATACTCCAGACACAATAGTACAAGGGATTAGTTTCCGGAGATTTTGGTGGCCATTGTGCGCTGGAAATGAAGCGAGGAACCTCATTTTCTAACCATTCTTGGGTGGCGTGTGCTGAGTACGATGTCCTCTCCTGTTGGAATGTCCACGGTCTACGGCCAAAATGTTTGCGTGCCCAAGTCTTTAATACACACTCCAGAATATTTTCGCGATAATATTCGGCATCTATTCTGATTCCACGGTCGATTAATATGAGCAGAGAGCGACCATCGGCTGTTATGGCGGCCCACACCATTACAATGGCCGGCGCTTGAGTTTTGGTGGCCAACCGAAGGTGCACATATTCAACTGACCTCTTTGGCAAGTAAACACGATCATTTTGTTTGTTTACAAACTGCTGGACAACGAATGTTTTCTCATCGGAGAAAACCAAATTCGGCAGTTCACCACTTTCGGCCGAGCGAAGCAACTCTTTAGCTCTTTTCAGTCTATTTTCTTTCTGTTGCGGTGTAGGTTCTTGCACTTTTGAAAGTTCAATGGCTTTACCCCGAGCTCATTTTTCAATATTTGCCGAATGGAATATTGCGATATGTTCAGCTCACGAGCTATTTTCGATCAAGTCGCTTCTTTACTTTTCGAACCATTTCTGCTGATGTTGCTATTTTCTTCTTCTGTTCACTTCCTTGTCGCCGGGTTACGCTACCAGTATCACGGTAACGAGCGATGGCATGAGATACAAAAGATTTATTCACATTTAAATGCTGAAGTGCCCTAACGATAGCCACTTGTGGTTTTCCAGCCAAATATAAAGAAATCACACTATCACGCTTGAATTCTCACCAAAATGCTTTTGTACGCTTGTAAAAAATATATGGGCTGTCAAAACTTGTAAACAATATATGGCTGAGCTGTCACTGGAATAATTTTACAGCTGTCGGAAGAGAGGCTTAAGGTGGGAATACATAAAACGCTTATCTGGCTGGCTTAAGTCATCGGCTGGCTTATTCGGAAATGAAAAAAGGAGCCTAGGTCCAAAATCGAACTAAGTAAACCTAAAACTCCTACGAAGATGCCAGCCGGTGACTCAAGCCAGCCAAATATGCGCTTTATGTATGTCCCCCTTATAAATGACTGCAGTCTGAAGTTGGTTGCAGTTTTTTCATCTCACTCTGTATTATTCAATATTTCAAACTGTTAACTTTTTTCTTACAGATCGTTTGGTTTCAGTTGGTCATTTCTTCTAACTCATTTTTTATGCAGCGAAATAAAAAAGTTCACACAGGGAGCATAACTCTAATTTCTAATAATACCCTAATAAACAACAAATTCGATCAATTTATAAGTTCAAAGAATAATAGACTTAAGGCTAGCAACCCACGTTAAGAATTCTATAAAACCCGAAGACTAAACCGGGACTCGCCCTCTGCTCAACTGTCAATAAGGTAACGTGAAAGGGCAGAGGAATTAAGTTAAAACAAAAAAAACCGTTTTATTATTCACTTAGAGCAGAAATAGTACCTTACAATTAGAACTACAGAAGATTATTCCTATTGCTACACCCCAAATAAATATCCATTATTGATAACTAGCATTGTCGATATACACATTCATATATACACCCACCACTTCAGAAGAAATCATCATTTATTATATTATATTGTTAAATCAAAACGCTTGCAATAATTAAATTTCGTTCCGAAAGAATTATAAACAAGCAATTAAGAAATTTCGCTTTTGATTTGTTTTGCTTTCTTTCGATTTCAATTGTCGGTAATTAAATGAAATTGTGCAAGGCCGTTTGGTTTGGTTTGGTATGATCCCCTCGATTGGTTTACGGGCAGACAGCCTGGGCCTGTCATCATCAATGAGTGAATGAATGAATGGCTGGCTGGATAGTTGGTCGGGACAGTTGTTGTTCGGTGGTTAGTTTATGATTATTAAAGTTGATTATGATATGTTGATTATATTGAATACTACGCTCAATTCATGTTTGGAATCACAAAACGGAATGATGACTCTGTCTAGAATAAATTGTTTGCATCAAAAATTAAATTTACATTCATTAAAAAAAAGCCGGCCGGCCGGCGTTTTATTGTTTACAATGCCTTACCGGGCGGAATCCATGGTATTGTTAATTATATTAAGGCAGTAAGTCAATTGATGGAATACAATATGGTTCGGAGCAAAACCTTTCTGAGATGGGTGTTGTAGGTCATTGTTTCAATATCCCTTTGTATTCGAAAGGGTTTGATTTTATAACAATTATGCTAAGACCATTCTAACACTAAAACATGTAAACAAGCCCCATATAAGGTAGGCCAGTAAGACCATCTGACGGCCAAGTTTTCTGTCAAAATATAATTTAAATTCGCCCTATCAATAGAAGAATATAGGTTGACATGGTAGAAGAATATAGGTAGACACATCAACACAGCTGCTGGGACAGTGAACTGTCAAACTGATTTTGGAATTGAAAATGTTGAATGAAAAATTATTAAAATTTGTAAAAATTGTCAAAAAATGCAAATTATATAAGAAAACATATAAAAATCTACTTATGTGTAAGAGAATATTTGAAATTTGTTTACATATCAATGTTCCCAAGTCTTTATGCATGTACCTGTACTCTTCTACCGTGCCCAGGACATAACATAACATTGGTTCCCAACCTATTTTGTTACATATTTCTTTTGCATACATCATCTCAGCGCCCCCTATCTGCATCTGTCGTAACAACACTTCTTCATGTTATTTTAACACTTGTTGAAAGCATCACCCAACATTGGGAAAAGCTTTTTAAGCTTTCTGTACATGTGCAGCAGCACACACAAAAAACCAGATCGCCTCAACATACACACATCTACTTTTTTTTAAATAAAACTTCATAATTCTATTTCGATAGATCTTTTCAATACCAGATGATCAATTTCTCTATGTGTTTTTTATTTTAAGTTATTTCGAATATTATTCTATTATTGAGATAATATCTTTGGAAACATTTTCATATATGTATGTATGTATTATTATGCCATAATGTTTTGTTGTTGTTGATTATTTCTTTAACAGAAATTATATAAATTATTCTAATGTCTACACTTTTCCTGCCAAATAGACATAGGTATAAAGATGAGGGAGGTGGATAGATAAACGCGTTCTTGTCAATGCATGTGTGGTGTAGCTGCTAAATTTAGGCATTGGCAAAATCAACACCCTTTTGAATGTTCTTCTTAAGTTCAGGAATGGCAGCTTCCAAGAGTTTCTTCTCGTAATCGTTCAATTTGGGCAAGCCCAAGTTTTCTTGAATACCGTTCTTGCCCAAAACCAAGGGGGTGGCAAAGAAGGCAGCTTCTGTGACAGTGGATTGGACATAGGAGCATTCGACAACGTTCTTTTGGCCATCCAAACCCTTGAGCAGGGAGCCAGCAAAACGGGCACCGGCATAGGCCATGGACAATGTGGCAGAACCAGCGCCAGCCTTGGCCTTAACAACCTCGGTACCGGCCTCCTGGATGCGTTTGGTCAATTTGTCAATGGTATCGGCGCTGCCCTTGAATGTGGGTTGGCATTGAGACAAAATGGGCATAATCGTTACACCGGAATGACCACCAATGACGGGAATGTTGACCTGTTGGGGATCAACACCCAAGGCTTCACCAATGAAGGCACGGGCACGTACAACATCCAAGGTGGACACACCGAACAAACGCTTGGGATCATAAACACCAGCCTAAGCATAAAATAAGATTTCCATGTTATATAAGACTATCAGAACTAAAAACCTTTGCTTACCTTCTTCAAGACTTCAGCGGCAATTGGTACACAAGTGTTGACAGGGTTGGTGATGATGGCAACCATGGCCTTGGGGCATTGCTTGGCAACGGTGGCGGCAATGTCCTTAATAATACCGGCATTTACATTGAAAAGATCATCACGGGTCATGCCAGGTTTGCGTGGCACACCAGCGGGAATGACGACAACATCAGCACCTATAACAATAACAACAAGTTCAATGAAACTGTATATGCGATAAATTTATAAAAAAAAAATATGTACACGATAAGAAAGGAAAACAAGCTTCTGTTCAATATTTAGTCTATCTAGATAGGTGGCACACGTATTGAACTTATCTAAAACGATTAACATTGTTATCACCCTGGTCAATATTCTATTTACGACATTTATGATTTGCGTTTTTTATTATTCTTACGGAATTATGTTATTTTTTTCCATCGGTTGATAATCTTTAAACTCAGCTTGAAAACAACACAATTCTCAATGGCAGAAAATATTGCAATAACGTTGTGTTCGATTAATGCAAGTTTGTTCCCGTGTTGTCATGCAAAATATTGATACAAACAAATCTTGAATGACCAGATGGGAGTTGAATGATATTCAATACAAAAAGAAGAGGTTATGTTAAAGAGTAATGGTTTCAATGAACCCATTGTCCATCGAAATGAATATTTTCTTATCGTTACCTTATTCCCTAAAAATTTACTTTTTTGGAGGATCAAATTTAATAACAACCTCTATCTGAAATAATGGAATCCTACCAATATTCCTAGGTAGGACAAATGTGTGCCGAGACGGCACTAATGTTACATTTCATATTCAGTTATCTAAAATTCCATCTCTTAATTATTTTAAAGGATAGGTAACATATCTCAACGTTTTTACAAAAGTGAAAAATGTATTTTATTAAAATTCATGTGACCAAATTCCAATTGGGATAGCATATGATATGCCAAAGACAAATTATTATATTCACAAAATGTCACATATTATGTATTTAGTTATTGTCAAATAAATCAACAAAAAACTATGATAATTAGATCTGCAAAGATTATTAATTCATATTTGCAATCAACATCAAATATTCTCCACTTCTGTTCTAGAAGGTTCAAAGTGCTTGCAAAGTCGACAAGACGAATAGATATATTTTTTGGATTAGATGTAGAGCAGCAAAAGTTAACACTTCATTGAAAGATAAGATAGGTAAAAAATCATAAAATTCTCAACTAAAAATATATACGTCACAATTCTTTGTTACCCCAGAATATTGTAAAAATTATAATGCTACGATTTATCTGTAATAATTAATAGAAACAAAAAAACTATTTGTTTATCATGCCGCTCTGTAATATACGTCATCAACACCAGCCAGCCAGACACACGTAACAAAAGTTTATCATTTTAAACGGAATATTTGATTGAACCATAACCATAACCTCAAACTGTTTCTAATAAATATATTTCCGTTTTGTGCTACATCTATGCAAATAAACAGCAGACCGACCTTTCGCGCATAGTTGTAATGTAATGTAAAATGCATTAGAACACTTACCCTTCAAGGCATCACCCAACTGGTCAGCACCAATGTAACCATGAGTGCTGCTCTTGGTATCAATGTGAGACAAATCAGCAGCCACACCGGGAGTATGAACAATGTCATAGAGCGACAAGGAAGTGACCAAAGGATTTTGCTTCAAAAGCAATGACAATGGTTGGCCAATACCACCGGAGGCACCACAGACAGTAACCTTGTAGTTGTTCTAAGGGGAACAGAAAACAAATATACATCAATTTCCATATGGCAAAAACTTAAGAAATCACAAAACATTTAGTTAATTTCCAGATTTTGTTTTATGCATTAATTTGAAAAATTACGTAAACATGCATTCACATTGTATTACAATATAAGCGAGCCAAACGCCCGCAATGTCATCTTAATATCAAATAATCCCCCCCGACACTTGAGCAAACATGTGAAGGCCCAGCACATACACAATCTAGAATCTGTTGGTAATATATGTTTTTTTTTGCAACAAAGATTTTTCTCACCTGTCTGGAAGTGGAGAAACTCCTCATGGATTGGATGGCCAATTGTTTGGTAGCTTGCTTCAACATTTTGATTTTCTATAGAATGAAACTCCCGCTGCTATGCTGCAAATTATTTGTCTGCCTGAACTTGACTGCCCTGCACACTTTCCCTGAGTTCTTGATTTGATTTTTGCGAAACAAAAAAACTTTATCGGCGTGAAAATTATTGGCTATAGGGATGATACATTCGGTTAGTACTGAAAATGTACAAAAATTAGTACAGCCTCATTTATGCCGCACATGTTTTATTAAACGCTGTGTATATTGTTGCTATGGGAAAGAAATTAATTGAATTATTTATTCGTATACAAATATTCTTAATTATCACAAAAAATTATGTTAAAAATTAAATTATATTATTGCTGTTTGGTTAAAATTACCAAAAAGTACCCATTGAAGTTTAGGCAGACTACAAAGTCACCGAAAGTCATATCACGATAACGTTAACGCCGATTAAGTTTTATTTTGAAGGCTTCGGGGAGAAAATGACCGTTATTGTAGGCTAAGTTTATATGGAAGAATTAACGTTTGATCTCTGAAATGTGTAAAGCTGGCCATAGACGAACGATTTGTTGGTGTGATTTGCAAATTTATTGCTGCGATTTATTGCATATCGTTTCTCCACACACGCTCGAACAAATCATAATTCGGCCGACGTTGAAGAGTAAGCATATGCTACGAAGCGGATGATGTTCATTTTGTGTTTGAACTTCGGTTTGTGCTTCTGTTTGAATTTTGTGGCAGAAAATTTTTTATTTAACAATTGGTTTTTTCTGTTGATAGGAAACTTAAAAAAACATGTGCGACGATGCAGCGGCTGATGCAGCTGCGCTTTTAATTATATATACATGTTTCGACATGGAAAATAAAAAACAAGAAAAGAAAAAAATCGAAAAAAAAAGAAAAAGAAAATTGAGTGAATAGTGGCTGCTCTAAAGAAAAAAGCATTCCCATGTAGCAACGCTCAAAAATATGGAAATGCTTACTGTGTCTCTTGGTCGAGCAAAAAATTAAGATGGTCAAAATACCACAGCGATGGCACGTACATATCCTCAGCACCTGCACCTGACCTTTCGCTTTTGCGCATCTTCTGAAGCTCCCTTCTGTACGTTGTTCGTAGGCAATTATATATTTTTTTTACTACGTCCACTGAAGCATTTTTGTCAACCTCTTTCCATTTTGTTACGAGTTTTTCCCATGATTTTTGTTTTTCTAATTTGTCTTTATATTTTTCACTTTTTGTTTGCCAAATGGCATTTTCATTTTTTAACACATCAAAAAATTCTATCATAAAGTCTTTGCTTGCCATTTTTTGTGTGCACTACACGAGCTTTCGTTACAATGGTTGAAGAGCAACTGAAATGGCAAAATGGCTTAAAATTTGCGCAGTAGCCCACACACGTATGATTTGTTTGCCAACAAATTGCAAGTTTTTGAAAATTTTTTGTTCGCAAACTACCCCACAGACGTAAAAACGCGACCACAAACCCAACAAATTGCTCGAATTTATCGTTCGTCTATGGCCAGCTTAAGCGAAATCAAAACAACGGCAACCAAAAAAAGTTACAAAAATCATCATGTTGATATAAGGAGGTAAATTCATGCATTATATGTTTACAATTTTGTCAAAACTATACATTTTATTTATATTTACAAATCCATTTTAAATACACAAATCAGAGATGTGAACCTTTTTTCTATGCAATGAATTTTGACAAGGTAAGGATTTGCAATTGGAAATGATTTTACCTTCTTAATTTTACCATAAAAAACACATAACAGCAAAGAAAAGCAAATACAACAAACTAAACAACACATATTTCCTTAAAATTCATCATAAAGCCAAAAACCAACAATTTTGGCCTGAAAGACTTCTTGCATTACAATGGTAAAATTAAAAAGGTGAAGACATTTCCAATAAGCATACCCATCTCCGCATTTTCTGTAATTTAACTTGTCATATTTCACTACGTAGAAAACAAGTTCCCATGTCTGACTTGTGTACGTACAATGGATTTATAAATATATATTCTGACAATGAGATGTTATCAAATCGTGGTAGAATTAAATTAAGATGTTTAAATTTACCTTATTATACGGACATAATGGTTAACTTAGAAAAAAAAACTAAAAAGCTAAAGTAGGGCTACCAGCTGGTGACAATTTTTTCCCAAATGTGCCCGACTTCTGTCAATTTTGTGTATGTATTTGTTGTTCTAAAAAATAAAAACAAAGTATTTCCAAAATCAGTCATTGGATAGGAATGCTTATTTGAATTTACTTTACCTTCTTTATTTTACAATGGATACTACTTTTACTCTTGTGCAATGGCCCTACCTTGTAAAGCATTGTACCGTGCAATGAACAATCAAAATGTCCTTAAAATGAATGAAAATTTATAAAAAATTAACAATGGTTTGATAAAAATCAACTTATTTTTGTAGAAACGCTTTATTGCATATGAATGCATATTTATAAATATTGGCAACTCTGACGCGACACCTGTTTCACTAATACCGGGTGCAACGTAATGGTAGTGGTGTCTTTCCTAATCATCTTCGTTTGTTGTTTACTCTTTGATTCGTCTCTTTTCATTGACATTGATTTTTTTTGATTTTTCATGGATTACGATCAATAGTAGAGCAAAGTTCGTCCAACGTCGTCATAGAGTTCCATCAAGTTTAAAATAATGGCGGAAAATAAAATTGTCACCACCCTACTGACCATTGTCCATATTGTCATAGATTCCTTATTGGAATTTATTCTGGGTTGGTATTTGGGAGTGAAAAAAGAATGTAGTCCACCAAGCGAACAGGAGAAACCAGTTGTTTCGAAAAGTGCTGTTGAGTTGGCGACCTTAATTCGCCAGCGGAAACTCAAAGCATATGATGTTGTGAAAGTATATTGCGAGCGCATCAAAGCGGTGGGCATTTCACAACTCAATGCTGTGGTCGATGGTCCATTTACAGCCGAAGCTTTAAAGGAGGCCGAAGAAATTGATCGTAAATTGGATAATGGCGAATACACAGAGGAAGAATTGCTGGCCAAACCATTTTTGGGCGTACCATTTACAACTAAGGACAGTACAGCTGTGGGAGGAAAACTTCACACATTGGGTCTGGTGTCACGCAAAAATGAACGAGCCCCCGAAGATGCTGAATGTGTAAAACTTATGAAGGAGAGTGGTGCCATAATTATAGCAACCAGTAGTGTACCCGAAGTCAATAGATGGATTGAGACTCGCAACAAACTTATTGGCCAGACAAAGAATCCCTATGATCTAAGGCGTTCAGTGGGCGGTTCCAGTGGTGGCGAAGCTGCCCTCATAGCATCATGTTCCACGGCATTTGGTCTTGGTACAGACATTGGAGGATCCATACGTATACCATCATTCAATTGCGGTGTATTTGGTCATAAGCCCACACGCAATGTGGTAAATATGCGTGGCTGCACATTCCGTACTGGCAAGGAGGAACATACGATGGTCGCTGCCGGTCCCATGACACGATATGCCAAAGATTTGATGCCTATATTCAAGGTTTTGACAGGGCCTGTTATGGCTGAGAAATTGAAACTGTCTAAACCGGTTGACTTGAAAAAGCTGCGCTTTTTCTATATACCATGTAACAATATGAAACAATGTAATCCCGTGAATAGAGAAACCCAAATGGTCATGTATAAAATACGCAAACATTTTCAAAATATTACTGGGGCCGAAGTGAAATTGGCAGTATTGCCCCATCTGGAAATAAGTGGCAAAATGTGGAGATATTGGATGACCCAGGAACCGGCCAATTTCAACAATCTCCTGGGCAATGGTGTGGAGCTTAATCCATTTGTAGAGCTGTTCAAGAAACTGATAGGACAAAGTGAATTTACAATGGCAGCCATATTTTCTCTAATCGACAGTATTTTGCCCAAGGAGAAAGAGGAATTCATACGCTCGGCCACGCAAGAGCTAAAGAAGGCTTTGCAGGATCTTCTTGGTGATGATGGTGTTTTATTCTATCATAGTTCTCCGCGTACTGCGCCATTCCACTACTATCCTCTGGTGAAATTCCTCGATTTCAGTTACTTCTCCATTTTTAATGTTTTGCAAACTCCCGTAACTCAAGTGCCTATGGGTCTAGATTCAAATGGCATGCCATTGGGTATTCAAGTTGTTGCAAGCGATATGAATGATCGTTTTTGCATAGCTGTTGCCGAAGAGCTTGAACGACAATTTGGTGGCTGGGTGCAACCTTAAGCCGCGATGTCATGATGAGGAAAGTTGTTTTGCACATTCCGCCCCATCCCCTTTTTTATACAGAGTTGTTGAAAAATCGGTAGAGGTACGTTTTGAAGAGCTATAAGCTAATGCTATGTACATAATGGTAAAGGTATTCAGAAAACAATGACTGTTATATATTTACGTATGCAATCAATAAATATATTTTATAAACTAATAATATAATGAGAGCTGTTTTGAATTGACGCGATACAAAATATAAACAAAAACAGCAACAACAATGCTTGCAGAAGTTCTCCAACCACATATTCAAAATTCTAATGATGAAAGCAAAGATATTTTACAGCTGTGTTTACTTTTATTTAGCCTTTCGCTTTGATCGACAATTAAATTGAAATTACGTAAATATTAGAATTACATTCATGGTTATAGGAGGAGTTTTAGTTTGCTAATGTGAGATGAGTATAGTATAGGGTTAGAACAAATGTTATTTGTGTCATGTTTGAGTATTTTTGATGGGTCCATGGTGATGGTAATGTGTGCGAATTATATGGAAAATTTTTGCATTGCCAGTTCAACCTGCAAGGCTATACATTGTTTGTTTTCTTCGAATATTTCTTTGGCCAACATCAACTTTTTGTTTTCCAGCAGAGCATTTTCACGCATGAAATGTTCAACAATGCGTTCATAGTCCTCGGTTCCGGGCGCTGGGGATATGACATTGTCTTGAGTCGAATTTGTGGTGGTGGTGGTGGCGACAGCAGCTGTTTTATTTTTCATTTGTTGCTGTAATAACTGCTTTAATTGCAACATTTCAGCTCTTTCGGCACTTATACGTGCCTGAAGTTGGGACTTCCATGCCAATAATTCTTGATTTTCCAACTGCAATCTGAGCAAAGTGGCATAATCGGGATGAGATTTTGAAACCATTAGTAGACCAGTATCCTCATCCATATACATGACTTCGGTGGTGTTGTTTGGAGGTGCCACTGAGACATATTCTTCAAACTTTTTGTTAACATCTGGCATATCTTTATTACTTTTCGGAGATATACTATTATCAGTTATCTCCAATGCTACTACTTTCTGAAACTTGGCTGAATCTCCATCTGGTTTGTTCAATGTTGCCATTTTCTCTGTATTTTGTGACCTTGAAGCGGAATCTACAGCATCATCATTCGTTTCAACCTCATCTATAGATTTTTCACTTTTACCCCTTTCAAATGTCTTCAGTTTTCTCTTTAGCTGGGTTATTATACGCTGCACCTCCCACAGCTGTTCCTCACGTTTCTTGGTCACATAGCCAGCATTCATTTCAGAATGAATTTGATTCAATAAACTCTCTTGTTTACATAGCTCTTTTTGTATTTCATCCGGGGTGTCTGGTAGTTTAGGGCTGGATGATGTTATGGGTGGTACATACCTAAAAAAATGAACAAAATTACAACGATGAAAATTGTGTGTGAAAATGACAGAACTTTTTATTTTTACTTGACTAAAAAATTCACAATTTTAGCAAAACGCATTGGCTTTTGGATGTTCTTCATGTTATATACAATTAATAACTGCTGATCTATTCTATTTAGCAGCATCATTTTTCTTATCTTCTCATGAGTTTATCTTTCAAAAACATTATATTTATCTTCATAATAGGCGATTGGGGGAGATGTGGGAGAATGCATTCACATTCCATACATTTTACCTTAATATGTTGATTTTTTAGAGTTTAGTTGTTGCGACGTAACTACGACTGACACATTGGTGTTACTGTCAAAAGTCTTCTCAAGTTTCTTTGGATATATACATTTGGTAATAAAATATATATCGTATATAAACTATAAGAGTATCCGAAAATAGCTTTTTAGAAACTTTAAATAATATTAAATAAATATTACATGTCTAACCACAAATTAGGAAATCATGCAAAATTTGGAAGCGATAAAGAAAAAGTTGTTTGCCCTTAAGAGGGAGAAGTGTGACATTCTTTGTCTTATTCACCTCCTTTCCATGATCTATGCATTTTTTTCTGTCAGACTTTCGAGTAAGTAAATTACAAACATTGGGGCCTTTTTGGCCTCTTAAAGAACTCACTTGACAAGTTGAACGTCCGGAAACAGGGTGGGACAATAGCAAAGTAATGTCACTAAGAGCCGATGTGACATCTGCAGAGGCGGGCTCAACAGCATGGCTAGAGACTGGGCATTTAATTTGTTATACTTTTCATGCTGTATAACAGAATCAAAGTGTAGTAGTAGCCAGGACAATAAGATTTTATTACACTTTGGCATTTGTTCCAAAAGTAGAGTAATTTCCTCCTGCTGTTTTGTGACCTTGGGGTGAGAGGCCACCTCCTCAAATCTCGTAATGAGATCAGTTGTTAAAACTGGTTCCGGTAATTCTCTGTAAATGGAGAAATTGCAATTGAATCGACCCCATTTTTAAAACACCAAAATTAGGAACTTACTTTAAAAACAACTTCATCAGACCACATGCTGTGGCCACATCTAGTTCATCGGACTCGGTGAGCCTTTCGCGATTATTGTAAAGCCTTTTGAAATGTTGAAGACGAGTTTTTGCCGGCTCCACCCTATAGATTTGATCATTTTTCAAGCCATATTCTTGCAAATAGTCAATGCAATCACGCACAACCAATGGCAAATCAAGGCCGTCATGACACCGGCTGCGTTCTGTGGCCAAACTGACGGAGACTCCAAAAACCGGCGAACACAATTCCAATACTTCTTCCGAATTAATGCTCGACTGTTGTTTCACCTTTTCCTTTTTGTCCTTTCGATCTTTGTCCTTTTCTTTATCTTTGGATTTTTCTTTTTTATCCTTCTTATCCTTGTCCTTTTTCTTGTGATCCTTTTCTTTGTCCTTATCCAAGTGCTTATCCTTGTCTATTTTATCCTTTTGCCTGTCATCCGCCTTGTCAAGTTTTTCCTTATCTCGAGATTTTTCCCTTTTGTCCTTGCTCTTGGAGGATGTGAACTTGAAAGTTTTCGATTTTTTCGATTTAGATGGGCTTCTGAAATTAAAATACAATTATAGATTCCATGTATATTGTTTGGACCTTTTAAATTTCCAATGTAGACGTTTACTTTGCATCTAATTCCTCTTCGGGCGAACTTTCTCCCTCTAGAGCGGCATATCCTCTATCTTTGCTTTTATCCTTTTTGTCCTTGCGGCGGCCAATAACTTTCTTACTTACCTTATCGTGATCACCTTCGCTGTCTATTCCAATGAATGAAATTTTATATTTCGAGTTCCTAGTTGTGAGGTGCATGATACTTACAGTCACTTTCGTCTTTAATTTTCCTTGACTTGCTTCCTTCTGTTCCGTCAGACGCATATAGGCCAGGAAATTCTTTTTCCACATCTGGACTATCAAGGTCCATTGTTTTGTTGTTTTATTTTAATTTTTATATTCTGTTTTATTGCAATTTTTATAAAAACAACAATTATGGGATTGAGCCAGAGGTCGATTGTGAAACGGCGACGTGCCGGCCTATTTTTCATTTGTAAGCCGCCGCCAATTCTATCGGCTAAAGATCTCCACCAAAAAATATGGCACGCCGGTGTTTTTCGTCAAATTTTTATGAAAATTAAAAAAAAAATAAAAAGATTTATTTTTTTAATATTAATTCAATTAATAAAAAGTTTTATTTTTTTAATATTACTTTAATTTTTTAATTACCTTCAATAGGCGCCGAAATCTCGCAGCTAATGAGACGCCGCCGTCATCGAAAAAAATGCACCAACACTGTTCTATTCGCATCAAACTGAGACATGAACTTTAACATAGCCACACAAAAAATAGTCAAACGGCGTTAAATCCCACAAGATAGCCGGCAAACGTAAAAGAAATGTTTTTTTCTTGTTGGAAAATAGGACTAATCCCATAAATGTTGTTTTTATAAAAACAACGTTTTTTTTCTCGTACCTTGTGTTTATATTTCGTCAATAAAAACTTAATCATGCCATTTATTATAAAAAATTTACAAAAGTCGCACTTGGAGCCACTACGGATGTGTGATCCTCAAGATGTTATAGCACTGTGCAAAATAGCTTTTGACTACTTAACAAATGGTCCCCAAGAACAGATTTATGAAGCCATAGCCAAGAAATATAACATAACGCCCCAGCAGGTGCAGCAGGCTGTGGAGGCGTTGATATCAATACTAATCGAAGCAACCAAATGTAATGCAGACATAAATGGTGTCAAAAAACCCCTAATGCAGTTAGATGGCTTCAAGGAGGAGGTCACCGATATTTTAGCACAGTTTGTGACAAGCAAAAAGAAATTCATAGAGGGATCAATCAAATCTGCGAACATTAGAGCATACCGGCTAGTCAATCTTGAGTGGAGACTTGAAGTTCGTTTAGCATCTAGAGCTCTAATGAAACAGCGCCAGGTGTTTGTAACCATGAAACTGTATTTGCATACAGAACCAAAGAATGAAAACCGAGATTTGTTGGAAGATTCGCCAAATCCATGTGAAGAGATACATGAAGATGAGAAAAGGAATCGTAAGGATTTATTAATACAAACTGATATAAATTCTCTTGTCCACATGATACAATCTTTGGAAGAGGCCCTAATGGAATCTAGATCACGACGTATACGCAACATAATATCAGCAATACATTAAATATCAACCTAGAATTAGTGTAAATAAAAGTATATATTTTATTAAAACTTACATTTAAAGTTCCTTTCTTCTATATAACTTATGTAAATCTATTCATTATTTGTTAATAGTTCTTGGGCTGCGGCTTTCATTAGATCCTTTTTCTTTTGACGATCAGCCTTTTTCTCTTCTGGTGATTTCTTCAGACCCTTAACGCGACGTGTTTGAATTTTACCAAGTTCTTGTTTTCCTAAATGTATACGACCATGGGTATTGCCCAACTCGTCATGGGTAATGTTCTTCTTCTTGGTAACCTTAAGTTGTTTGGGCTGCTTGCGTGCCTGCTTATACAGATCTTCGGATGCAATTTTGGTGCGTCTAATGGAGAAATCTGCGGAGGGTCCAATTTCAACTAGCTCGATGCGGGGTGTTCTTTGTCCCGACTTTTTGAGTAGAATTTTATAGGAACGTAGTAAGATATTCAGGTCCTCAGTACATGTAAAACTCATAACATGTTCTATGCCTTGTAAACGGATTGCTTCAACTTTGTCCTTCTGGAAGGCATCGATTAGCAGATTTTTTAAACGTCTTAACTCCTCGGATTGTGACCATTTGGGGCCATTGAAGACCAGGCAAGGTTTAACACAGGTGCCAATTTTTTCAGTTTTGAATTCAGACATTGCCATGTAGCGCTTGATACCCAATTCAACCATATCAAGGATTTCGTTTTCATAAATACGCCCCAATACAATGTTGTTTGGCCTTTTCTTTGACGTTGAACCAAATGCAAACATGGCACAATCATTTTTCTGGGTTAAACTGAAATGAACGAGAGTTTGAATAAATTTAAAGGATTCTCTTCATTTTTTGGGACAAAACTTACAATTCCAAAGATGTGGGATCCTCAAATGGTGTAATATCATTGTTTCTATTCAATACCTTTACCAAAGGCTTCTTAAGCTGTTGCATATCCTTCATGCAAGATTTGACATCACCACCGCATTTTCGCCCATCCAAGAACAGCATATTCCGGGGACCTTCTATCAATTGTGGCTCGCGAGCCAATAACAGCTTTTTACCCTTGCGGGTTTTGGGTTTCCTTGAATGATAGAAAACAAATTTTATTGTTTATATTTACTTATTTATTAAAAAATTTAAAAATATACCTTATTCTTAACAGAGACATGCTTTTGTTTTTAATTCCCAACTACTATACACGTGTATTTCTGACAGAAGAAAAGTCAGAGAGCATTTATTTGTTTACTTGGGAGTGTTGCCACCCGTGAAAAAATATGAATTGCTGTCGGCATTTTTCAATGATTCCCCTCTCATTAAGGGAAGCAAAGTACAATGTATTCATTGTAATTAATAAGGGTGTGAATTGAATTAATTCTAGTTTAAATATTTACTTAGTACTTAAAAATAAATAAGTTTATTTTTATTATTTTCTCTTAAAATTCGTAAAACACAATGTGCACTTACCACCTGTTTGCAGTCTGGCATCTCTGTTATAATAATATTCACACTCTCTCTCTCTCTCTGTCTTTATTTGAGTTCAGCAATTGTAGAGAAGTCAAAGTTGTTAAGTTGTATTACTTTGGAAAACATCAACGCAATGGGAAAAACTTCCAAGGATAAACGTGATATATACTACCGCCTTGCAAAGGAAGAAGGCTGGCGGGCACGAAGTGCTTTTAAGCTGTTACAAATCGATGAACAATTTCATATATTAGATGGTATGTGTGATGACGGATAGTACAATAAGAGGCTGCTTTTAAGTCAATTAATTCCTGTTGATAACGATTTCTAGGAATCACAAGAGCCGTTGATTTATGTGCGGCTCCTGGTAGCTGGTCTCAAGTTCTCTCGAAACGTTTGTACGAGAACAGCAATGACAAGGAAAAGGTGAAGATCATTGCCGTTGACCTGCAGGCCATGGCCCCGTTAAACGGCATCATACAAATCCAGGGAGACATTACCAAAATTCAAACAGCCCAAGCCATTATTGATCATTTTGGCGGAGAAGATCTAAAAGCGCAATTGGTTATATGTGATGGAGGTAAGGTATTATGTTGACAATATGACCTCTCCAAAAAATATTTTTCGTTACTTTTCCAGCCCCAGATGTAACCGGCCTGCATGATATTGATGAGTACATACAAAGTCAATTGTTGTTGGCTGCATTAAGCATAACAACCCATGTTTTAATGCCGGGAGGAAATTTTGTTGCCAAAATATTCCGGGGCAAAGATACTAGCCTACTCTATTCCCAATTGAGAATATTTTTTGAAAAAGTTTCCATTGCTAAACCGGCTAGCTCAAGAAATTCTAGCATAGAAGCCTTTGTGGTGTGTCAAAATTACCGTTGTCCAGATGGTTACATACCGCAGATGATTAATCCCATGATCGATGATGTCCAGGTCATACAAAAAGCCACAGAGTCTGAAGTGAATCGTACACTGATACCATTCGTTGTATGTGGCGATTTAAGAGGATTCGATTCAGATATGTCGTATAGTTTAAATGTATGTTTGACATTTTTGTTTTTAACAAATTGTGATTTAATTGCGTTTTATTTTCAAGCTGGACGATGATTCGGAATACACGTACCGTGAAGTTGTGCAGAAGCCCATATCTCCAGCTTATAAGGAAATTCTGGAAAAATTAAAGAATTGTTCCATAAAACACAAGGCCATAACAGTTAAACATGACAATGAAACAAATATGGAGGAGAGCGGAAAATAGGTGAACAATAAAGTTAAAGCAATCAATTTTAATCAAAGAATAAAAATGTTTAACGATTTCCAAATCTCTTAAAGATAAGTAGCTCAATTGGATAAGGAATTTAAAGGTATATCTTATACTTTTCATCACCTCGGCCCTTTTAACAAATATCAAATTGTTAAACATTTTTTAGAGATACAAACCGAAAAATATTTTTGAAATCTAACACACTTAGTGCTGAAAATATCGTTTGGTTTTCTTTTAATTAAATTTATAACAACAATATCTTTAGCTTAGCCAATAATTAACTATAAATAATAAGTGTATATGTACAAAAGGTTTTCAATTAAAGACATATTCTTTAAATGAATCTTTCGATTCCTTTTTGGAAGATATTGATGCGGACCCTGATTTCAAACCATATTTATAGATTTTATTAAGACTTTCGGGAAAATCGGGCAGTAGATTATTGAAATTTTCCACATGCTGGGTGTGCTGCTCAGTCCAAATGCCATCTCCGGTGAAATGAAATTCACTCTCAATTAAATACAAAACTAAAGTGAGCACCTCATTTGCTGTGAGTTCTTCACAGTTCTCTATGGTTTTGATTTCTTTTACAAAATCCGTTGTATTCAGCTGTTTCAGTTTTTCCTCTATGCGTTTTCTGAAATGTTGCAAATAGAAAATCGATTAATTTAGGAATTTTCAAACAGGCATTCAACTCACATTGGATAGAGCAGCATATGAATATTGTTGTAAATGTCCTGAGTGCAAAACTTATTTTCTATTAAAAACTCATAACATTGCTTGACTTGTATGGCAGGAATATGACACCAATTTGGATGCCTGGAGAGCAGGTTACGTAAATCACTTTCGTTTTTATTCATGACATTCGAAAGATATACAACAACGTCGCGACCTTTCGTCTTGTCTGAACCGTCACGTGCAAATCTGAAATTATAGCGGTCATTTGTAAAGAGGCCTGTTACCGAAAATTTCCTTAAATCTACCTTGCAAATGCCTCCGAGCTACACGATAATATATGCAGGGAAGCACAACGAACTTTTAATTGATTCAAATAGTCCAATCTCAGTCTGGCCTTATTTTGATAGTGCACCAATCGCAACACTCTTGGATTTGAGCTTAGGACTTGGAACTCTTCAACTTCATTAAGATCTTTTAAACGTTCCAGTACGGTATCTGGGCCCAATGTTAGAATTTCCAAACATCTCAGAATAGCACCTTCTTCAATGCCAAACTCTCTAATGTGTTGCATGGTGGTTAAAAGGCCATCGCAGGACGTCATCATGATCTTGGGTCGTTTGTACAATAATTCCTTTATATCCTGACCATCAATTGTTGGCACCTCCTTTATTATGCGTTTCACATTGCACGCATCAGCATACAGAAGAAAGGCGTTCTTAATTATACGTTCGTAGGAGAATTTTAAATCCTTGGTAAGAACTTCAATAACACTTTGTATAGAAGAAAAACTTTTATGGCGTAGACGTCCATATGTCTTCCAAATCTTTTCAATATCGTTTGAAGATGCACCCAACTTCTGTCTAAGATAACAATTGAGAATGCGTTGCCGAAGCAATTTCAATTCTAAACTTTCATTGCATTCCAAATCTGGCGACAATGTAACATCTACATCGCTAAAGGTTGTGCGTAAACGTTCTACAACATCTGTATCATACGATATATATCGAAATGATTTTAGGGATACAACACTACGATTCATGGCAGCAACAAATTTGGATAATAATGGAATTGTTATTTCCACAAAGCCACATTCCTTTAGCACAACATAACGATTCTCCAATGTCATTTCATTTGTATAGAGAATCATGGGTCTTGTTAGAATATCATCAACCGTAAAATCCAGTTTGTTCAATGCCTTTGCCGAGTTTAAGATATCTTTGCTTTTCAACGTTTTCAATTCGGGATGCTTGTGCAATGCCGCATGCCACTTCCAGTAGTTGGAACCTGCAGGAAACCATGCCGTGTAAAAATAAAGTAAAAATTGTAATGTGCGTCGCATTTCATACCTATATGTTTGGCAAAGAAACTGGCACCCACTTCATCGTTCGTATCCAATGATGCCTGGGATCTTTTCGTGGCGTAACTTCTTGGGAGCACAGCAATGAAGCTGCGTAGGAATTTGTTACGCATATACATTTTTAGCTCATTTGCTAATTATTTAAAATATTTAATTTAAAGCTTTCCCAATTTCCACTTAACCCGGCATTCAACAGTTATGAACAATCGTAGGCGAATTCGTCTTAAACGTGTTCAGACCAATAGCAACAAAAAATCTGAAATATATAAACAAACAATTTGTAAATTATCCTCTATATCAATATTATTATTTACCATATGTACGTTGTAAGTTTTTCTTTATAAACATTCAATTATTTAATAACGAAACGAGAGGTAAACACCGTATAATGAGGTTCGACGAGATTACAAAGCCCCATTTTAAAGTCAGCGCCGTTAATGAACAGTATGTAATGAAGGATTTTATTCAAAACAAATGAAGAAAACTAGGTCTCTACAAATCGAAAAAAATAATTAAACAGCTGGTCGGGTAAAGTGTTCTACCATGGTAGAAAAATACAGGTAGATGCATCAACGCTTCATATCAATGTCATTTTTAATTTTTTTTTAATAAGAAGATTTTCATAATTTTTTTATGCGAGACCAATCTGAGATTGTTATGATATAAATTTTTCAATAATTTTTAACAATTTGAATAATTTTTCTTTCAAAATGTTCAATTTCAAAATTGGTCTGAGAGTTCATAGCACCAGCAGCTGTGTCTTAGCGATTGCCTGTATTCTTCTGCCATGTCTTCTACGATGGACAATAGATGAGGGTATATAAACAGCTTGGCATCCTGGCTAGGCATATTAATGTCAAATTATAAATGCGATTCTGGCATTCCTTTATGATATGTCACAAAATATTTTTTTCTTTTGGTGCCATTATTCTGTCAAAACATATACACATTTTGTGTATATATTGTTTTGAATAAAAAATTTCCATTTCAATCTTTTGGAATATCCGCGAAAATTTCCTTCTTGTTTTGGAGTTGAGCAACCTTTCTTATTGAGCCATTCAACTTAATACCATGGAACAATTAAGAAGGTATAGACAAATAAGTAATTCCATATCAGCCTTTTTCGTAAGTTACCTTGAAAAAATGTACTGCATAGAAAATACTCATATATATGCATTTTGACAATGAGGCGAACAAATGAGTAATTTTTAACACATGTTTATATGATATTGACTTCTTAATTCTATCATGCAGTAGAATTAATTATTTAATTTTTCATTTTTAAATGCACTATTATATCACATTCCATTTGTATTTAGTGTTTGGAAAAGTACATTGATTAAATTAAACATTTGGTGTTACCATCCCTGACATTTGTTCATTCCCTCTCAATCGCAGAATTTTACACTTCGGGGCTGTCGATTTAGCCTTATCGGCGTCAGTTGATATACAATATTTTTGCAAACCGACGTAAACACGGACCGTTGCACGCAAGAATTTTTTTTTTGGAAAAAAATACTTCGGTGAAAGACGCTTTCTAATTGTCAGGTAATAAACGAAAAAAGCAAACGCTAGTAAAGTAATTAAATGTGAAATGAAACATCTGTGGTGCTAAATTACTATTATGTAGAAAAAGGTTTTTTGATGTGACAAAACTTTGAGAAAAATCGATGAATGAATAGCACAATCATCAAAATTTCGTGTAAAACATGAAAACAAACTGTGTTTTTGTTGTGTTTTTTGTAAGCAATAACAAATTTTAGTTGTTGTTATAAAGTTAATGCATGTAAATGTTGTTATTTTAATTATGCAGTTTTATTGTGCTAAAGGTAAATTGTTAATTGTGTAAAAGTAATTTTTGACTACCAACTTTACATTACTACTTTCTCGGTATGTAAACATGTGTATTTGCAAGGGGTGGTGGTGGGTGGTTGGTTGGTTTTTAAATATGGCTCTCTTTGGTGTTTATGTTTGTGAGTTTTCTCTTTCACTTTCTCTTTGGCTCTTTTTATCTCATTCAAAGTTGGCATCGTTAGCGAGATATTTTGAAACACAATTGATTTTGTTGTTGCAAATATAATAATTGTGTTTTTTTTTTTAATAATACATAAGTGCGATAAGTTAAGGAAATGCATTGTAAAACCGGATTGGAATTATTTATTTGGTTTGTAAATATTTACTAAAGCTAGAATTAAAAAAGAAACTTGTTTGTTGAAATGGCATTTTGTATTTAAAACAAATAGATGAACGCATCAGTGGGGTTTTAAATTAACAAATCAACAATTTACATATTACTTAACAAACACCGACATCATCTTTCCAGTGCCAGTGGATATTTTGCCAATTTGCATTTCTTTGCTTTTGGGGGCTTTTATTTGTATTTCACTAAATTAACATATTGTTTTTCTAATTTCTCATAATCTACGGATACAGTCAACACTCTCTAAACAGAATGGGGGAATGTCAACACAAAACACAAATGTCGCAATATTTTTTGGGAATGAAGAATATATTGATATATTGAGAGCCAATGGTTTACAGTGCAAATTTGCAGTTCCCTCGAATCCACTTAAAAATCCACATTCAAAGGACCCTGAAAACCTTTCCGCACATTTTAGAGTATTCTTCCAAAAATCCACTTTTATATAAACTTCTGTAGTCTTGATTTTATTTTATATAATGCAGGAAATCGGTCACCAGGGGCTCGCCACGGGGTGGTGTTCTATCACCATAATTTTTGGTTCTGAACAACTTACTCATAGATCTGGAACAGCAGGTCTCTGTGTGGAGCGGTTACCAAACGGCGACCGTGCGTCCTTTAACCTAACCTAGGATAGGAAAGGATACTTTTAATAAATGTTTTAAACATATCTTTTTCATAAAGCCTGAACGACTTTGAAAGTACAGGGTGAGATAAAAAAAACTGCAACAAAGTCAAACGCCATAATTTTTACATTTTTTTATACATTTCATTGAATGAAAGCAACAAATGTCGGAAATATCATTTTTAGATTTTAGAATATATTTAGATTTGGTCGAATTGGTCACCTTTGGTACGGATTATGGCCTCCAAACGGCCAATGAAACCGTCACACGCTACCCGAATGTTGATCTGCGGTACTTTGGCCCATTCCCGGCAAAGCGCTTGCTTGTGGTGATCGACACTTTGGTATTATATAGTGCCAACCTTTCCAAATTACTCCAGACCCAATAGTCCTACGGATTGGTATCCGGAGATTTTGGTGGTCATTGTGCGCTGGACATGAAGCGAGGAACCTCATTTTGTAGCCAATCTTGGGTGGCGCGTGCTGAGTCCTGTTGGAATGTCCAAGGTCTGCGTGCCCAAGGCTTTAATACATCTTCCAGAATATTTTCGGGATAACATTCGGCATTTATTCCGATGCCACGTTCTGTAAATACGAGCGAAGAGCGACCATCGACTGTTATGGCGGCCCACATCATCACCATGGCAGGCGCTTGAGTTTTGGTGTCCAACCGAAGGTGCACATTTTCAGTTGATCTCTTTGGCAAGTAAACACGATCATTTTGTTTGTTTACAAACTGCTGGACAACGAATGTTTTCTCATCGGAGAAAACCAAATTCGGCAGTTCACCACTTTCGGCCAAGCAAAGCAACTCTTTAGCTCTTTTGAGTCTATTTTTTTTCTGTTGCGGTGTAAGTTCTTGGACCTTTTTGGAATTTCAATGGCTTTATCCCGAGCTCGTTTTTCAATATTTGCCGAATGGAATATTGCGATATGTTTAGCTCATGAGCCATTTTTCGGCCACTGCGACGCGAGATTCGATCAAGTCGCTTCTTTACTTTTTGAACCATTTCTGCTGATGTTGCTGTTTTCTTCCGTCCACTTACTTGACATCGGGCTACACTACCAGTATCACGGTAACGAGCGATGGTGCGAGACACAAAAGATTTATTCACATTTAAATGCTGGAGTGTTCTAACGATAGCCACTTGTGATTTTCCAGCCAAGTATAAAGAAATCACACTATCACGCCTGAATTCCATCACGAATAACTATTTTTCTGGAATATTCTCGCCAAAATGCTTTTGTGCGATTGTAAAAAATATGATGAGCTGTCACTGGAATAATTTTAACAGCTGTCGGACGAATGGCTTTGAAATGACAGCATTCTGAAGTTGGTTGCTGTTTTTTATCCTAATCTGTATCTTTGAAAAACATGGGTCTATAGATCTTATGGTTTTCTTAAAAGTCCACGTTTATATAACCTTGAAAATATTCCTCTAAAATCCGTGTTTTATGAATCCCTAAAATATTGAAATTATTTTTTCAAATTTGACTTTAGGCGTATAGTTATCTTTGAAAAATCCTTTAAAATGTCACTTTTAAGGTCCTTCAAAATAACATATGGGACGATTTACAATACGGCTGCTGATTGCTTATATTTTGATTTCTCAGTCGTATGTTTGTTTCTACACTGCACAATGTCGTTATGGGCCTCGTTACCCTTTGAAGATTTTTGGAGTATTTTATAGCTTAGTCATAGTGTTTTGTTATTTGTGACAGGTGTTTGATCAAGCAAACTTATCGGTGTTTATTTTTTGTTTTCCAAAAAAATACCCCGGTATGTATCTGACGAAACCTATTCAAAACTCTTAATTAGTGCATACAACCAACACCATTTAGTGGCGAAAATTGTCATTTTGATAAGATTACCTCCAGGCCATTAATAGATATTAATGAGTAGCTACAAACACATTACCCTTAAAAATAAATTTATTGCTTGTCTAGCTTGGAAACAGAGTGACTAATAAATCGTTCTACCTTCAAATCCTAGTTAAATAAATCGCCTTACCCCAAACTCTCTCTCACACACACACCCACACAATGGCTGGCAATGACAATGGCAATTATATGATGAATTTTGAGAATATCCTTGAAGCTGGCAAGGAACCAGTTATGACCAAAGAATACAATCCATTGGTAGCATTTAAATTAGAAAAGAATCTCGATCCAACAAAACTGAAAAAACATGTCTTGCAAAGTGAAAGAATACGCCAGCTAATCGATTACTATGCGGCCAAACAAAACTGTCCCGCCAAACAGATGCAACAATTGGTGTCTGAGATATTGGACGAAATTGGTTTGGATCGCAATTTGGCCATTATACGCTGGTGTGGCATTGCCATAACAGCCATTGGCAAACGCATCTGTAAGGGAATCTATGTGAACAAGGCCAGCATGGATCACCTGAAGCAGGGTTTGGGCAAAAATCCCGTACTCTATTTGCCCAGTCATCGAAGTTACATGGATTTTATATTGATGTCATATATTTGTTTTCATTATGACATTGAAATACCGGGAATTGCTGCTGGAATGGGTAAGATTCGTGAAATTTAGAAAAATTATCATCCATAATGTATACGCTTTTTGCAGATTTCCATTCCATGTTTGCCATGGGCACAATGCTGAGAAAAACCGGTGCCTTCTTTATGCGACGCTCCTTTTCGAATGATGAGTTGTATTGGGACATATTTCGCGAATATATGTATGCCTTGGTTGGTTCCTATCACATAGGTGTGGAGTTCTTTATTGAGGGCACCCGAAGTCGCAACTTCAAGGCCTTGGTACCGAAAGTTGGATTGCTGTCAATGGCCTTACAACCCTTTTTCACAGGAGAAGTTTCGGACATAACTATAGTTCCCGTCAGCGTCTCATATGAACGAGTTTTGGAGGAACAATTGTTTGTTTACGAGCTGTTGGGTGTGCCCAAGCCTAAAGAGTCGACAAAGGGCTTCTTTAAGGCCTTGAAAATAATTGATGAGAATTTTGGTAAAATGTATTTGGACTTTGGTGAGCCCATTTCGGTAAAGGACTTCTTTGGCGAAAGCTGCAGTTTGGATAAAATGAAAAGGGCCACACTGGGTTCACATTTGCAGAAATTAAATAAACATGAAATAGAATTGGTTAAGAAGTTGGCCACGGAGGTAGGACAAATAAATTTCAATTAAATATTTAATTTTTTAACCATCCCCCTTTTCAGATTATCTACCAACAACAAAGACGCATTGTTATAACAACTTTTAATATGATAAGCCTATATTTTGCCAGTCAATATTATATGGATAAATCCTTGAATGTTGATGAAATCTCGCGTGGCATTATTATGCTCAAGGATATGTTTGAGAAGTTGGGCGCCCACGTGGCCACAGATGTGAATTGCATAAAACCGGAAATTATTGAAACCGTTGAAATACACTCAAATATTGTGCATTTTAAGCAAGGACGTCTGGAGTTCACACAAGTACCGGTAGAATTGTTGGCCCAGGAAATTGATATCAGTCGTCTGAAAGCCCACGCCCTATCACCTCGGACCATGGCTGTGGCTGTGCCCAGTATGGCATTGCAGTTGTATATGAATCCCTGTCTGTTTTGGCTTGCCAGGCCTGGCTATCTGATTATGGCTGCACTACAATTGGAGGAGCAACAGCAAAAAATGAGCAAACAAATCTCAGGATCACACGAGGAAACTATTTTGCGTTTATCCCAACAAGTTGATGCCTTGGATGAGGTATTTAAACATGAATTCATTGTCGAATCTAATCGGGAATTGGAGGTAAGGTTTCTGAGTCATTTCATCAAGAACAATAGAGGAGATTATTTATTTTCTTCTATTTCTTAGGAATTTGAGCATAATTTGAAATTTCTAAAAGACTATGGAGTTTTGCACATCTCTCAGATGGGCTCTGTGCAAGTTCAACATAATGAATGTAGCCGCAGTATTCTTACGGCCCTCTCACCATTCCTGTGTCTTTACTATCAACTTGTTGTTGCCTTGAATACGGTAGTATTTGCCATTTGTATTTTTATTTTTTCGGAAAATTAATGGTTTTTCTTCTGCCCACAGCTTGCCACGGAGAATGATGAGTTCTCGCCAAAAACCATTTTGAAAGCCGTACAAAAACACATTGAATCAATGCTGTTAACAAATAGCTGTCCATTACACGTCCATCCCTATTGTTTGGCATTGGATAATCTAAACATAGCCTTACACTCTCTGGTACAGAGTTCGTATTTGCTGCGTAATCGTGAAACGGGTAATTTTAAAATATCTCCAAACAAGTCGTTGCATGATTTGGAGGAATTTCTGCTGGCATTTTGCAATTTGATGCCATTTAAACAGTATTGGCAATGCGCCATATCATCAAAGTTATAACTTTCAGCCGACTTGAAGCAGACCGCCAACAACAAAATCACCTCATTTCTGCAGAGAGTTAAGAAGGTCGTTCATTCATTGCTCACATATGCCCGCATTCTAGGTACATTGGTTGTTATTGTCATGGTAATGCCATTGTTTCATTTCATATGTAATCATTTAGATTTAAATTAATTTTTAAGTTTTAAGGTGTTTTGTTTTTTTTTTTTTTTGTTATTGTATTTATGGTGCAAATAATTCCATATATGTCTACACAGTACACCACACGTCTACCATGACGGTAGATATTATATAAATCAAGTCCAAACACCTATTGAGAAGAGATTATTGGTTAGTATATATAGGTACTATGTATACAGGGCGAGTTGAAAAAAAACTGCAACAAAGTCAAACGCCATAATTTTGAATTTTTTTTTTCTTAAAATTTTATTGAATGAAAGCTAGAAATGTCGGAAATAGCATCAAATCTTAGAATAAGTTTAGATTTGTTCGAATTGGTCACCTTTGGCACGAATTATGGCCCTCAAACGGCCAATGAAACCGTCACATGCTGCCCGAATGTTGCTCTACGGTATTTTGGCCCATTCCCGGCGAAGCACTTGCTTGAGGTGATCGACACTTTGGTATTTTTTAGTGCCAACCTTGCTTTCCAAAATACTCCAGACACAATAGTCCAACGGATTGGTATCCGGAGATTTTAGGGGCCATTGTGCACTGGAAATGAACCAAGGAACCTCACCTCACCAAGAAATCTTAGTGCGAGGGTGCCGAGTCCTGTTGGAATGTCCAAAGTCTGCGGCTAAAATGTTTGCGTGCCCAAGGTTGAAATACACCATCTAGAATATTTTCGCGATAATATTCGGCATTTATTCTGATAACAAGTCGACTAATACGAGCAGAGAGCGACCATTGGCTCTTATGGCGACCCACACCATCACCATGGCCGGCGCTTGAGTTCTGGTGGCCAACCGAAGATGTACATTTTCAGCAGACCTCTTTGGCAAGTAAACACGATCCTTCTGTTTATTTAAAAACTGCTGGACAACGAATGTTTTCTCATCGGAGCGGAGAAAACCAAATTCGGCAGTTCCCCCCTTTTCGGCCAAGCGAAACAACTCTTTAGCTCTTTTGAGTTTATTTTCTTTCTGTTGCGGTGTCAGTTTTTGGAATTTCAATGGCTTTACCCCGAGCTAATTTTTCAATATTTGCAGAATGGAATATTGCGATATGTTCCACCACTGCGACGCGGGTTTCGATCAAGTCGCTTTTTTTACTTTTCGAACCATTTCTGCTGATGTTGCTGGTTTCTTCCGTCTACTTTCTTGACGTCGGGCTACGCTAGCAGTATCAATGTAACGAGCGATGGTACAAAACACAAAAGATTTATTCAGATTAAAACGCTGGAGTGCTCTAACGATAGCCACTTGTGGTTTCCAGCCAAATATAAAGAAACCACTCTATCACGCTTGAATTCCATCATGAATAACTTTTTTTTTTTTCTGGAAAATTCTCACCAATATACTTTTGTAAACAATATAATGATCTGTCACTGGAATAATTTTAACAGCTATCGGTCGAGTGGCTTTGAAATGACAACAGTCTGAAGTTGGTTGCAGTTTTCTTTATCTCACCCTGTAATGATCTCCACTTGACTAATTATTAATTACTTAATTTTCCTGGTTTTTTGTTTGATGATGATGATTTAAAGTAGAAAGATGGTGTAGCTTAAAAGTGTTGTATTGTGCTGCAACGTGTTGTTGCACAACCCAGGCATTACAAAATATTCAAAATATAAGTACGTTTTACGAAAGGCACGCACGCATTCAAAAATATTCCTCCTTGCTAGTCCAGCCCCAGTCCCAAGTTGTTCTCATTTACATTTTGGCCGTGCATTTAAACGAAAAAAAATGAAATTCCATTACCAAGTCATTAGTTAATATAATGCATTTAAAAAAAAACATTAATAATAAAAAAAATATTATGTACAAAAACAATACGCCATCGTTTAGCTCTAATGTGTGTGTGGTTATCTTCAATTTTAATGTGTTTTTTTTTATTATATAAAAGAAAAAAATACCAAGTTTCCTTAGGACATTTTGTATTTATTATACTCACATTGTGTATAGTTTAGTGCAATTAAAAAAAAAAATTATATTTACTGCGTTGTTCTCCTCAATTACAGAGACTTAAAATTAAAGAAAAAATAAATTGTATTTATTTGCAGAATTGTTTCTTAAACTGTTGCAAAACACTTTCTTTTATTATGATATCCATTAAGAGTATTTGGGCATTCGTCTGATCGACCTTGATATTGACCACGGCCGAGTTTTTATACAGCCAAGACATTTCGGCACCGCCATTGGGCACGCGTATTGTAATTTTTTTACGTTGCGTTGTTTTGAGTACCTGTTGTTCGATTTCTTCGAGTAAAGGCATCAGACCATTTTGTTTCTTGGCTGAAACTAAAAATCCTTGGAATTCTTCAATCGTTCTTTTTCCCCTGGCCAATAGGTCGATTTTGTTGCCAACATTAATGATTGTTGGTAATGTGGCGGGTTCTTCCGCCCCGGAAGCAATCAAGTTATCTGTTAGACTTTTCAGAGTCTGTTCAACATGTTGCTTTTGTGAGTCATAACAATTGTGCGATACATCGTGTATGTGTAAAATAACATCGGCCAACATTGCATCTTCCAAGGTGGCCACGAAACACTCAATCAGGCCGGTGGGTAGGTCTGACATGAAACCCACAGTGTCCATGTAAATAACCTCTAAATTACATGGCAACTTCCCAGCATGGGCCGTAACATCTAGGGTGGCGAATAACTGGTCTCTTGGCTCTATGGTTTGTTCCTGGGTTAAGGCCTTGATTAGCGAGGTTTTGCCCGCATTTGTGTAACCTACAACGGCAATTATTGGATAGTTGTTTTGTTTGCGTTTATTGCGCAAAAGTTTTCTGTTAAATAAACAAATAAATTCATTTACTTTTTTTTTTTTTGAAAAATACTCTAATGTCTTCTCTCACCTATGTGTTCTTATTCGCTCCAATTCCGACTTTAATTTCTTTTCGCGAGTTTTCAAAATATCACGTTGTGTGTCCGTTAGTGAATAGCCAAGTTTAGTTGATTTCGAGGTGTTGTAATCTTTGGCTTGACCCCATATGTACGGTATCTCGGCCATTGCCACCTGTAAACGTGCCTCAGCACTTGCGGCATGCAAACGTAATATTTGTATTACCACCGAATAACGATCCATTACTGGAAGCTTGAAAGTTGCTTCCAGCAGAGATTTCTGGGCAAAACTTAAGGTTCCTTTGCTCACAAATATACAGGTAAGTGGTTGTTGATTGTGACTTTTGTTGTAGCGCAATTCGTTGACGATTTGTTTCAGTTCTTCCATTTTTCCTTTGCCAAACAAAGTTTTTCTTTCCAAAGATTCGAGGGGAACTTTAATGGACATTGCCACCCGCCAATTGGTAATTGAATGGATCAGAGCTTCAGCTTCTTGTATTTGGTCTTCTGGAGTGATGTTGGTGGTACGTTTAACGGACCACTTGACATATGGTTGTATGACCAGTACGTTTTGGGGTTGTGTGGATTTTCGTGTAACCCGCATGGCCCCATTGGCAACTAGGTCGTATTCACTGCAATTATGGGAGTATTATTACGAATTTTTTTAAAGCTACCTCATCAATAATACAATTTAAGGACATTACCTATCGTCCAAATTCAACGATTGACCAAATTCTTCATTTTCTTGATCTTCACTATCCTCATTTTCTTGTTGATTGGCATTCGATTCGAATTGACTCTTTCGATTGCGTATACCTTGTACTCCTTTATTTGGTGTATATTTGAAACGAACACATTGTAAGGAACAGGCAATCGGAGTGTAATAACTTCCACATGGATTTAGCAAAAAGCGTTGTACGGACACGGACCTCAAGGATAATAATCTATTAGCCAATTGTTTGAGAAGCATGATATTTGTTTGTGTAAACTGTTTTTTTTTTTTATTAATAATCTTTTTCTTTAAGTATGCTATGTTTATCTTCCGCTGCCATCCAAGCTGCTTGACACGATTTTGTTCTTTTACTTGTCACCTCGTAACCTATCACCGTTGCTGCCAAAGTGGAGATCAGGATATTATATTGTTGAGGATAACGTATTTTTGATTGTACGATCTTCTGGGCGAAGTAGAAACCGGAAAACCCTTGAAAACAACGCAAAATGCCAAAAGAAAATTATGCAAGCAATTACAACTCTTCTTCGTAACTAGCACAACAAAATAAAACTTACCAAGACAAAATGATGCCAAACCGGTAAACAATGACCGGGTCATACATTCCATATAGGCATCAAATCCAGGATGTTTTTCGCGTTGCTGATCTTTCAGACGTCTGATGTCATTCATTCTGCTCTGGAGAACCTATCGTATTGTGAAATTATAGAAATTGAAAAGAATGCATCAATTAAATGCGATATGATTGTTGTGTTCGTATGTATGTTGGGTTGTGACACAGCTGTTTTTATTTTGACAGCAAAAGTCTCTCATATTTCCAATATGGCAGCCTAGCTCAGTGGCCACATCAAACATTATGGTAGAAGAATACAGGTAAACGCATCCATGCAGGTGATGGGACAATGATATGTCAAACCAATTTTGGAATTGAAATTTTTGAATGAAGGATTATTCAAATTTTTTGAAATTGTCAAGAAATGCAAATCATAACAACCTTCGATTGGGGTCGCATAGGAAAACATATACAAATCTACTTATTTTTGAAGAAACATAAAAAGGTTGCTCAACTTAAAAGAAACTAGAAATATGCAACTCTGTGATGGGGCCTTATAGTGCAAAATAGACTTTTAAATATGCAACATTTGGTTTTGTTTATTTTATTTTTGTTTTTTAAAAAAATTATTAAGTTTGAATGTAAAATAGTAGGACAGTAAAGTTTTCTCCCAATATTGTGCAATGCCTTGCCCATTAACATCGAAAGTTATTGTATTTTTTATTCAAAACAATATTCATCCAGAACTTATAGCAGTTTGAGGGTGCAAAACGACTACTGAAAGTTTTTAAGGTGCAAGTACACAGAATGCTTCTTTAACTAGCTTAAGTCATCGCCTGGCTTTTTCGTAAAAGAACGGCCCATAATTTATACTTGTTAGGATAGGAATACATAGAAGGCTTTTTTGAGTGGTTGAAGTCATCAGCTGGCTTCTTTGTAGAAGAACAATAGGCCGAAATTGGCCTAAGTCAACCGAAAACCCCTTTGTTCATTGTTCACCTTTAAGTCATTAAAAAACTTTGTGTTCTCACCTTTACTTCTGACTATCGTACATTTTTGAGTGTAATTTTACTTGTATCCATTCGGTTCTTTGCCACTAATAATTTATAATTTGCAAATGTGTGTTTCTTCTAAGGACCTGTCTTTTTTTACCATCGGAGCCTTATACCATGTTTACGTTAGAAATTTTTGCAGGGTTAACCCACTTCAGCAGGATTTATTTGAAGTATGCGTAGTGGATATGACAATTTTAATCTAAATTCATTGGGATAATACTTTTACATGTAAACGTGCTGTTAAATCAATCAACAACACAATTCAAAGAGAAAATCATTAACAGTTTACCACTATTGCTACCATTAGTTGTGTTCCAGTACTTTTTTAGTAGTAAAACTAGCAGAAGAGAGAACAGTTCGAAATGTCATTCTCATTTAGGTTTGCTCAAAAAATAAGGGAACGGAAAATTAGCAGAAATGCGATAAAATGTCAAAATTCAAAGTTCCAAAAGTAAACAGCCTAAACCGGACTGGTGAAACCTTACTGAAAAGGGCGCCAACATTTAAAAAATGAGTATTGAAGACGATAAGTTAAAATTAATAATTTATAATAATAATTACTAATCAGATTCCTCATTCAGTCAGTCCTCTTCACTGCTGGAATCATCCAAAAGTGAATACATCAATTGCTCCATATTTTCTCTTTTTGTTTTTTGCACGACAAATATTAGTTTTTCCTTTAGTTTTCAAGTTGATCATTTTCTTTATTGAAATGTATCAATACATTTTTCAACCTTGTTAGCCCTGCCAATTAAATGTCAAATTTACAATATGCACATTTCTGCTCGGCCAAATTCATGTAGCTAAAACAAGCAGAAATGTGCACCACTCAGCGCCATTTTTTTCTCGAGAGAGCTGCAAGTTTTGCTAGTTTTTGGAGTACGGGAACGCGTTGTAGCAGAATTATTGCTAATTAGTACTAATTTGCAGGTTCTGGAACACAACTATTACTATTTCAAAAAGTAGTTAGCACCACTGGACTAGGGATGTGTAGTTAAGTTGAAAAATGAAGTTGACAGTCCATAGTCGATTTACTTCTCCCTAACACAGACTCGGTTATTCTTGCAGAGGAATCCAAAAAATTGTTTATATGCACTTGAATTATTTCTATTACTAGCTTAACACAATGTTTTATCATGTAAGTATAACATTCCCTGTGTCCATATTCTATTACATTATTTCATTTATCTTTAGATTTCTCTGGAACATGAAATTTTGTTACATCCACGTTACTTCGGACCGCAACTCTTGGAAACTGTCAAGCAGAAACTGTACACAGAAGTTGAGGGAACATGTACCGGAAAATATGGTTTTGTTATAGCTGTGACAACAATTGATCAAATTGGTTCTGGTGTCATATTACCGGGTCAGGGCTTTGTGGTTTATCCGGTCAAATATAAAGCCATTGTATTCCGGCCATTTAAGGGAGAGGTACTTGATGCCGTAGTTAAACAAATTAATAAGGTGAAATGTTTGTTGTTTGCAAATTGTGAAACACAATTCACTATTTTTTTGGTTTATTTCTTGGTAACAGGTGGGCATGTTTGCCGAAATCGGACCATTGTCGTGCTTTATATCTCACCATGTAAGTATGTTTTATATTTGATCTATCTTTTGTCAAGTTGATCCTCTCAATATGTTGCTGGTTTCATTGCTGTCCAGTGATTTTAAACAACATGCACGTCCACCATGACTATATAAATATGCCATTTTCAATTTCAGTCCATCCCTGCCGATATGCAATTCTGTCCCAATGGCAATCCTCCTTGTTACAAATCGAAAGACGAAGATGTTGTAATATCGGGTGAAGATAAAATTCGCTTAAAAATTGTGGGTACACGTGTCGACGCCACTGGCATTGTAAGTTTTGCATTTCATTATCAGAATTTCTAAATTTAATAAATTGTTTTTTTTTTTTTTTTGTAGTTTGCAATTGGAACATTGATGGACGACTATTTGGGTCTAGTGGGCAGTTAATTCCTACTGCATATTTTTTAAAGGAATAATATCAATAATATATATTTGGAATGGATGTTTCATACGTATTTTAGAAAATGTATAATAGTTTTAATAAATAAAATGATTTCTATTTAAATAGCAATTGTTTTGAACGTTATGTTTATGAAGTACGGGGTGAGATGAAATGCTGATGAAAAACTGCGACCAACCTTAGACTAGAATAAATCTTTTGTGTCTCGTAGCATCGCCCGTTAACGTGATACTGGTAGCGTAGCCCGACGTCAAGGAAATGGACGGAAGAAAACAGTAACATCAGAAGAAACAGTAAACAGTAACAAAGCTATTTGATCGAATTCCTCGTCGCAGCGGCCGAAAAATGGTTCGTGAGCTGGATATATCGCAATATTCCATTAGGCAAATATTGAAAAATGAGCTCGGGGTAAAGCCATTGAAATTCCAAAAAAGTGCAAGAACTTACACCGCAGCACTGCCGAATTTGGTTTTCTCCGATGAGAAAACATTCTTGCCCAGCCCTTTTTTTAAACAAACAAAATTATCGTGTTTACTTGCCAAAGAGGTCAGTTGAAAATGTGCACCTTCCGTTGGCCACCAGAGCTCAAGCGCCGGCCACGGTGATGGTGTGGGCCGTCATAACAGCCGACGGTCGCTCTCCGCTCGTATTAATCGACCGTGGCATCAAAAATTCTGGAGGGTGTATTAAAGCCTTGGTCACCCTATGTGTGGTAAGATTTACGTCAATTCGAGTTATAATTCGACTTATATCTCCCTTGCACATAGTGATCGTCGCAAGGGACAAGGAATTAATATTTCTCAAATGGAAATGCGCTCACTGTCCCAATGGTTAAAAGAATATATGTTGTACAATATAATGCTTATATTATAAATATTTATTTTTAATATGATTTTGAAGTACATATTTTAAAGGTACATATATATATTTAGTAGTTTAATAAATAAATAATAACTTGGGGGGTTGACGACAACATTATATAAGTAAGTTGAAGCACTTAAGTGAAGATTTCAAATTCTGCATATCATTTTCAAAGGAAAATTACAAGCAAGGTATTAGATTTTCATATGATAGGCTTATCTAAATCTCTTGTTACATATATATATATTGTATGCTAGCTGCAATACATGGATTATTTTTTAGACTGTTTTTGATAATATTTTTAATTTAACATAAATGCACATTTTTGTGGTAGAAGAATTATGTTCAACAACAAACAAAAATTTAAATTAAATATAATTCTAGATGTAAAAGCATTCATCTTATATGTAGATTGATACATATTATATGTTAACAAATAATAACTTTTCTGAAAAAATATATTCTTTTAAAATCCTTATTAGACATAAAATAACTTTTAAACTAAATAAAAAGAAACATGAAAGCTACAACAAATTCGGGAATGTCCTTCTTTCGTTCGAGTTGATAAAATAAAACTATCAAATTAACATTTAAATTTCTTCTTGTACACAATCTCACAAATCCCATGAGAATAAATGATGTTTGACCAACATATCTCGCACACCATCTTTAAGGGGTTGTGATTCCTTGCCACGCTTTGGCGGCAATTCCCAATCGGGATTGAGATTAAAGGCAAATTGTGCCAGTATACGGAGTTCACATTTAATTTGTACCCATCCTGGTGAGAAGATAAATGACCAGGTGTGATACCATTTTTGTACAATATCTTGGCAAGAGCATAGGACTTCCAGCCATAAATGTAAAACCTGTTCGTTAAGACCCAAACAAATCAGAGAACGTAGTTTGACATCCATTTGGGCGTGGGCCTCGTCGTGGGACTGATTAATGGATTGGACACAGCGGTATAGCAATTCTTCGGGGGTCAATACTTTGCCTAAAAAAGAAAACAAGTAAAAAGTTAGAAAAGCTCTCTACAAGAATCCATTCAAATTTACCATCCTCATCCAAACGATATGTTTTACATAACACCAAACGACTGTATACCGATTCAAAGTCTTTTTCCACCTCTCTTGAGGCGGCTTCTTCAATAAAAAGCCATGGATGTATGGGACCTCCCAAAAAGCTTGGCCTTTTCATGCCATGTTCCAAAAACGCCTTCACCGCCGGGGCTAGTGTTCCTCTAACTAAATCGGTTACGGTCTCCGATATGGCATCATCTCCAGCAGAAGTATACTGTTTGCTACGTTCATCCAATAACTCCACAAATTTAGCTGGAAACCAACCACGTAAACCATTCAACTCTCCCACCCAACAGTGTTCATCTTTCTGACTAATTATTGTTATGATATCGTTTTTCCTGAAGCCCAATTCGTCGTCATCATGCCGTTCGAAATCATGCAATGCTTTGGCCCTACGTTTACGCGTTCGTGCCACATTTATAAAATTCTCATGATCCTTAGCATGCGATTGGGTACTGTAGTCTGCCGTTAATTGGATGTGATTTGCCAACTTCGGTTCTATGGCAATAAAGTGTCGAGCTACTTTCAGTATGGCTTCACGTAAGTCTACCAATATTTCGGTTTGCCTGATATTTTTATTTTTCACTTCCTCCGTACCGTTATCACCGCGGAATAACAAAGTCTCAAGTATTGATTTCGACTTACGCACCTGTCGGCGAGCTAAATGCTGTTTTGGTAAGTTGGGTAGGGAATTTGGATTGCCCACAAGGCCTCCTTGATCTGCCATTAGATACGCAAGGTGGCGACGTCGATGTGTATCAATCACCGTTTGGCTTAAAGAACCACCAACTTCCAAGGCAATTTTAAATAAAACCTAGAATGCACAAAATAATTGGTAATATTTTCTTTTTCCACACACACATATTCTTAACGCCACCAGTACAGGAATTATTTTACTGTCGCACTGCCTCACAACAACCATGTTTTGTTTTGAAGGTGATACTCAATATTTTTTAAAAAAATTACTTACTTCAACATCATCTATCATGCCTGGTATATCGGAAAGCGAGTTAAATATTTGAGCTGAATTTTCCAAATTATGCAGATCATTTTCTTTCATTTTGAGCATACCCAATGTAAGTTGAAATAGCACAATACTTCCCTCGTAGAAAAACCAATCCCAAATGCGAACCAATATTTTCATGTGAACAACATTGGCGAACAGTGTAAGGAACCAGTGCAAGGTAATGAGGGAAAGTTCAATGTCATGTTTTTTCAAGCTATCATCAACGGCCGACAAATAATTGGCAATAAGTGTTTGCATGACCCGCTGATCGGCCTGAATGCCCAACAATGTGGATGAATAGTATGAGGCTGGTAAGAGATCTTCAACAATGGTTGCCATCATCCAAAATGCATTTTCCTCCTCCATGAAGAGAAGCAAACAGGCGGCTATTACACCCGTGCCCTGGCAGTAGCCAATATCCGGATAAAGCCATGCAATACCTGTGTAGAAAATATTAAATTCTAACTGCATATAGCTTTAAAAAAGCAAAATGTAATTTGGTTACCTCTTAATATGCGCCTAAGTCTGGGTATACCAGTACTATTGGGATTGCTAAAGCATGCATTGGTTGGCAAAATCCGCAGAAGATCTTTTTCAATTTGCTTCGATGTCATTAATTGGTCATTGGCCGATGCCTTTATAATCTCCTGATAGCTGGTCTCACTTTTTTGCTTCTTGGACAATGCCCCTGAGAGTCGCATCCACATTTGTGGCCTTAGGGAATGGGGTATGCCTTCTCTTACCATATTCCGTAACTTTTCGGTACGTGGCAACATTACACCCACATTCTCCCACGTCAATTCATTGGCCTCTTTATTGTGAGAAAACTCCAAGTGGGCAATCCATTGCAAACGGTGTTGGGCATCTTCGACAAATGGAATACTTAAGAGCTTTTTGGAGTTTTGCTCTGGTCCGTCTTCTTCCTCGACACGAAATCCAAATTCATCAAATCTATAATCGGGTTGATCATTGGGACCACTGCCGTTATCGGATTCGGGTTTTGCCAAAATTTCCTGTGGCCACATAGAGGGTGTCAGGGCTGAAAATGGACCCCCCGGATTGGGTCTTAGTCCATCAACCACACTCAATTCCTCCATTGTTGTGATAAGTTCTTCGCCAATGCTATCTTCCGAATTGAGGGTCTGTAGCTTTTTCTGCAAATATAAACAATATTGTGTTGTTTCCTCATTATGCTAATTTACAATATTTACCGTATGTTCTTTGGAAGAGACATAACCATCATGATCTCTTCCAAATAAACTTTTTGCCATTTCCATTGTGATCCTATTTGTTAATTGGCCAATCTGGGGGCTACAGCATTAGACGAGGAATAAGTTTTCAAAGTTGGTCTTCTATTAATTAGTTAAACAAGCGGATTTTTTATTTCCTAAACATGACGACGACAAAAAATATATTTTCACTCTATAATAAATTTGACGTTTCACAAAACATCTGACACACAGGGAATACGAAGAATATAGGTTTGTCTGTTCATAGTTTGCTAGTTCTTGATTTATCTCTCTTTCGTCTATAAACATTGATATTCTTTAGCCTTCCCACGTAACATGTCAAAGAGAGGGAGAGAGAGAAGGTAATCTCTATACCAATGGATTCTCAATTGTGAAATTGTTAATTAAAACAAACTAATATATTAATGTTATTATAATTATAAAATTTTAATAGCTTAGTAGAATTAAGAACTAAGTGCCAACTACAATAAATGTCATTTGATGATATAGCAGACGGTCTTAATGTACGACTCCAAGTGACAAATGTAATCTTCTTCTTCTTCTCTTATGTGTATGTTTTCACGTCAGCTGTTGATTTTATAGTGGACGGTCGTCGTCATGAAAAAACTTGAAAAAATAAAAAACTAAAAAAAAAAAATCAAATAACTGCAACGTTTTACAATAAAATATGAATTTTAAACCCATTATAACCTGTAAGTTTCACAATTTGCCTTTCGGGGTTTTTTTGTTTGAGTAATTACGCATAGCAAACCCCTTACTGAGTCTCTCTAAAATAATCTTATCCTTTCTTTGCAAGATACGGGTGCTGCTCCATTATTTAGGTCATTGGAGGGCCAAATAACAAATGCTATACCCCTGGACACTTGTGAGTGGCGTCGTACCCTACATCGACCCACAAAACATGTAAGACTTGAT